TATGTTCTCCCTCATATGTGGACATTAGATCAAGGGCAAACATAACAAGGGGATTGGACTATGGAGCACATGATAAAAGCGAGAGCACACAAGGAAGAGGTGAGGATAGGTAAGACACCTAAAAAACTAGCTAGCATTTGTTGCCCTTAACGCAGAGAAACTAAAGCAGATACCTTAAAAACAACTGAGGCCAATAGGAAAAGGGGACCAGAAACTAGAGAAAAGGTTAGATCAAAAAGAATTAACCTAGAAGGTAACACCCACGCACAGGAAATCAATGTGAGTCAATGCCCTGTATAGCTATCCTTATCTCAACCAGCAAAAACACTTGTTCCTTCCTATTATTGCTTATACTCTCTCTACAACAAAATTAGAGATAAGGGCAAAATAGTTTCTGCTGGGTATTGAGGGGTTGGTGGGTAGAGGGAGGGGATGGAGTGGGTGGTAAGGGAGGAGGTGGGGCAGGGGGAGAAATGACCCAAGCCTTGTATGCATATATGAATAATAAAACAATAAAAAAAAGTCACACATGCACACTCCAAAAAGCTTGTAATGGCAAATCGTGATAAGTGCTTTGTGTAAGACACAAGAAGGGGTATAATTCTGGGATGTGAGGAGGGGGTATCCTAGTAGGAGGATGTATACTGCAATTGCATTTGGCATTGATAAAAGCAATGTTTGACACAGCGGTGTATTTGAAACAAGTGACTGCTCTCTCTTAGTTGACACTCTCAGGCTTTCGGGCTACCACAACTTCCTCTTGTCTTTCTGGCTGGTCCTTCTCTGTTTCCTCTACTGATTCTTCCCAAACTGTCCACCTCTAAATGTCAGAGTGCTTCTCAGGCTTAGTCTGTATCTCTCTTTTCTAGGTAGAGTTTCTCTCTATGAATCATACCCATCTTGTATTTAATTATAGTCTGTGGACCCCTGACTTCCAAAGTAATGTTATCATCTCTGATTTTTTTCTAGGATGGCCACATATCTGCCTTCTCTAGGTCTACGTGAATATCTAAAAGTCCTTCTAAAATGAATGTGGCCAAAATAGATCTGATAATTTTCCCCTTCTAGCTCAAACTGCTCATCCCACAGTCTTATCTGCCAATTGTTCAAGGCAAAAACTTTATCAGCATCTTTCACTGCTTCCATTTTCACACACCTCACATTCATTATTTTAGCAAATACTTTTTCTAAGAATTCCACAATTTCTCACATTCCTTTTGTCACCACCTTGATCTAAGTCACTGTCTCGTTCTTGTATTATTTTAATAATTTGTTACCTGGCTTCTGTGACTCTGGCTTTGCCTCTACTCTTCACCTTGTTCATTCCAACAACATGATTCTGTTCAAATGTAAGTGGAGTCCTGCTGTTCTGCTAAAAAACTACCAATGACTTCTCATCTCACCTGGAAGAAAAGCTGAAGTGCTCAGATAAAGTCTTAATGATCTACCCACCCGTCTATGTTTATGACCTCATTGCCTCTGCTCACTTCACTTCAGCCTTGCTGTTTCTCAAATAACACCTACTATGCTCTGCACATCAGGTCCTCATACTAATCGTTTCCTCTGCTTGGAAAGTTCATACCCACTTCCTCTAGCCTTTACTCAAATTCAATAAGGCCTTTGTTGGATACCTTTCCTAAAATGTCACATCAAACACTTTCATTCACTCTTCTCTGCTTCAATTTTTCTTCTTAAGATCTATATACAATATATTTTACTTAATTGTGTTTTTCATTCAATCTTAGTAATTAGAATATAATCAGTCTGAGAACAGATATTTTTGCTTTTCACTTATTGGAAAATCCCTGGGGTCTGACATTAACTTAGTATTCAGTGTTTTGTTGAATGAATAAGTTAAGGTTTTTTTGAGTATTGAAACATTTGAATTGTACTATTGGAGTCCATGAGGTAGCAATGCCTATTGGAACAAAGGGCTTGGAAATCTCTTCATTTTGTTATCCATTGCACCAGAACCTAGTGCAGCGTCCAAGTCAACTGATCATCATGTGGAAGAAAGGAATTTACTTTTTTAAGGAAAAGTTAGTAAACATACATCTTTCAGGGACCTGGAGTCCTACCATGAGCCCATGTTTCCTTATCAGCTTTTGCTGCCTTACAGTTTCTGAGTGAGCATATTTCTCACACACGTTTCTCCCTGGAGGAGGTTTGTTTCTGCTCAAGATCCTCTGCCCTCTACTCTTCTTAGTGCCCCAGTGCCCCGGGCAAAGGCACCTTCCTCTGGAGATACTCTTACCACACTCCACAAACTGGCTGTGCTCTGATCCGAGGCACCATCTTCACTTAGTCAGAGTACTCTCCCAGCAGCTCAACCTACCAACCCTCTCCTTAGGACACCCCAAAGAGTGTGAGGAAAAGCTCCTGGGTTCCTCTTTGTTAGCTGGTGATTACAGCAATTCTCAGATTCAGAACTCTGCAAGAAGCAGCACATTAAGGATATCCTGTTTACAGACTTCTACATGCTCAACGATACTCGTGTGTGTGTGTGTGTGTGTGTGTGTGTGTGTGGCAGAGAGAGAGAGACAGGGAGAGGGAGAGGGAGAGGCAGAGAGAGAGAGAGAGAGAGAGAGAAAGGCTGGTCCATCATAGGGTGACAACTTTTCTCTCGTGTTCTTTACTGTTTGAATTCTGGGGAGATAGAAATACTCTTCTCAGATAGGGTGACAGCCATTTGCCATCCACAAGCCTATTATCTTTTTATCTCTATCTTATCTTTACCTTATTTTCCTCATTGTTCAAAGATGAAGATCCATTTATAACATCAAAAACTTTCTTAGGTGCCCCACTTTTATGATGGCAGCCAAGGAGATGCATAGTGACTTCCAGACACTGTATCTATCTATCATTTATATGTGTCTGGTGTGTGTGTGTGAGTGTGTGTGTTTGTCTTGCTGCTGATAGAACCCAGGGCCTTACACATGCTAGACAAGTGCTCTACCACTGAACTATATCCCTAGCCTGTAGCTACTATCTGTTTGACAGCACTTTCACATCACCTTTGCCATCTGTCAATTATAAGGGCATTTTATATGGCTTGAGGGAGCTATTTAGTTCAAGGTGACAATGATTTGGGTAAAAAGTTTTACTAATGCTTTGATATAATACCTTGACTCCTTCAAATTCTTCATGTTAACATTTTTCAAACACAATGGAACCTAATAGTTAACAAAAAGCAACATAGTATACATAAAGAGGAAGGAGTTGTGGTAAGGAAAACTGTCATGATGAATTAGGTTAGCTCTCAGCCAGCCCATTTCCCAGTTCACCATAGAGGGGAGTTGGGTAAGAACCAGTGTTGTCTTGGTTGTTGTGTTTGCTTTTGCTCAGCATCATTAAAGTAAATGCACGTGAAACTTATATCTACTATGGGCCAAGTACAGCTGGCTGGAGCTTGGGGAAATCCTCTACTTTATCCTAAGGCAAAGAGAGTAATTCTGAAACTCAGAGTTTCCTTTTAGTACTCAATTTCAGAATCTATTCCCTAGTGACTTTTATTTCCTCCCTTTGGGGTTGACCAGCATGCTGTCAGAGTTGCAGGTTTCTGATGCCCACCTTGCCACTAGGAGGCCAGGCCTCAGCAGCAGTGCAGGTATCCCTGCCCCCAGTCTGGCTGGAGCCCAGCGAGCCCCACCTTGCTCCGACGCTTAGTGGAAACGAAACCACAGTTAAGTTTCATGTTCCTGAATTGCATGATTCAGTGGTGTATTTCTTCACATAGTCTGCACAATAAGCTAGTTGCCAAGGAAAGTCTTTAAGAAAACTGTGATTAAACAGAGGGTTTTGTCTTTAATTAGATGCAAACTTTTGATATCATCTTATGTTACATAGGACAGAGTTTGTAGCTAGCTACAATTTTCTGCATGGTTTGCTATGCTTGGATTCCTGATCTTCTGGTCTACATTTTGCCTTCATGTTTTAGCCTCATCCCCACAGCTTCCATCTGCAGAAATATTGTTCTTGCTCACTGACCATGCTTACTGAAGGCCTTCTTTTTAATTTAAAGAATTCTGTAGTCAGCACTAGTTTCATCTAGTGATACACATATTTCTCATTATTTTTAGAATCATTTCATAAGATATAGCTTCTGTGCATATAAAAGTATATCATTTTAAAAGATCTGTATTAGTTTTCAGAATTTATTCTTAAAGATTTTAAAAAAGAGTTGGCTAAATAAGGCTTTAATAATTAGAAAATTATCAGGGCTTTTCTGAAAACTGCTTTGTATATTAGAATCTTAAAATATGTCTTTATGAAGCTCTTTGATTTGGAACTCGTCCATTTTCAAACATAAAGAAAACTTGAAAGAATAGTGAAAGGGACATCCTTAACCTGGATCAATCATCTCTTCTGCTTAAATACTTTTGATAAAATAAGTATCCAAAAATATGTTTCAGACATGCTTTTTCTCTCCTCCGGTATTCTATATGTAATGTGCAGCAAATCCTATGCCAGTCAGACATGCTCCCACTTCCACCTGGGCCAAGCCCCATCTTATCTCTGTTGGGCTACAAGAATAGTTCCCTTACAAGACTCCCTCTTGCTATTATGTATCTCTTTGGGGACTTTTCAAAATAACTGCTGAGTGACACTGTCAAAATGTACATAATATCATACCAATATTCTGTTCAGTCTCTCTTTTTCTGTCTGACTCAGGGTGAAAGTCAAGTTCTTTATTATGAACTAAAGAGTACATGTGGTTTGGCACCTGTGACCCCTCTCATATTACAGGTTACTTTTATATTTCTAAATCTGGTCTAGCCCCCTGACTCCCTTACTGCTCCTTGTAAATATATTTTTTCCTGAAGTTCTCATAGGCATCCAGTTTCATAACTGACTTTCTCAACTTTCTGCTGTGTCACTAATAGTCCTGAACTAGGCCATTTCTTCTACAAGGTGTCCACAGGAGGAGGGTCCTCAAAGTCAGCTGTTGTCACCTGCTACCTTTGTCCTGGTGAGGGGCTTCCCTCTTCCCACAGACTCACCCTGATCAGGTCTTGCGCAGTACCTTCATTCAGCACGAGTCCTTTTCCAGTGTTTAGCCATCTACCCTCTCTTGTATCCTAAATGAAAGGATGAACTCCAGATTTTCTCTTTTGGTTTAGCCAGAGAGCACAGCAATTCCAAACAGCACCCAACAGTCCAGAAGCAACATATCAGGCATTTCCCTTTGTAGCCCATCCCTCCTTTTATAGCTCTTTGGCCTCACCTAGCCAGTGAGTCATTCTGTGTCTGTCTGCAAAATGAACTTGGTGCCATGTAACAGGGGACAGATTTCTCTAGTATTTGTTCAGATTCTGCCAGTAAGATAACCATGGAGATAGAAGTATTTTTCTCAGATAGGTACACTGATGTTTAGTCCCCAAATCTGGAGCCTTCTGACAAATGGAAAAATTGACAATGCCTTGTTTTTGTCTCTTTTCACTAACAACCTTGAGCCTATTACAATGTCAAAGATTTCTCAACCCTTCCTCTTAACATGATAGCAATTTTTTTTTTTTGCTTTTATACTTTTTTTTCTTTCTTTTTTTTTTTTTCATTTTTCTTTTATTCATGATAGCAATTTTGAACATATGATGATGTGAACCTGTGACATTCAATAAAGCTTTAAAAATAGTTTGCCCTTCATGAATTTTGGAGCCTGTACATCAAATCACCATGATTGGTGAGGACATACTTTGAGAATGCTTGGTGTAACTCTTGGCTTCCTAGATGTCCTCAGCTTCCTGTTTTTAAACAAATGTGAAAATGAATCTTATTATTAGCAAGATTAGTTATTGACAAAGCAGCTATAGGATGTCATTTTCAAAAGAACACTCCAGTTTTCTCTTTTTTTTTTGTTGAACAGTAATTATGAAGTTAGCAGAGCTCTTGGGGGTAAGCACGGAGGCACACTTCCATCTCAGGGGATCCTCAGCAGCACTCCAGCTCTCCAAAGTCCAGGAGTTGCTCTGCAGGACTCTTAGAGCTGCTTGGGTGGAGCTTCAGAGTCTTGGCTGCAGCCCAGGAGATCTACACACACCCTGACGAACTGAAACTACACACAAGCAAGCTGGTTTTGTTTTCCTTTGAATTTTTAAAGTTTCAACCAGATCGTTGTATGAGATGGAAGTGAATGAAAGATTTAAATAGAAAAATAGCTAACTCCTGGAAGGTTTTGTCTCCGATGAAGTGTAAAACTTTTAATAACATCTTTTATTTTAGAAGACAGAATTTTGCATATTTATACAGTACTACAGGTTCTGTTACAATCTTCTATGCTAAATTTCTGACTCTCTTTGGACTGTTTTTCTATCCTTTTTCCACTGCCCACTTGCCACAACCAGAAACCCTCTCACTATTCTGATTCATTCTTATCATCCTAATTACACTTAATGTTACATTTCTTTTTTAAAAAGCATTTGCAAGTTAATATCAGTTAAATATACTCATATGTATGCAATATACTGGTATTTCTAATTACTTTAATATTTTTACAAGTAACAGTTTATGTACAAACATGTATTGATATAAAAAGTATAGCTGGAGTCTTTAAGAAATAGTTGTCCCCCCACAGGCATAAATGATAAAAAGATTGAATCATTTAGGAACTCACCAGAATTTTCCTGAAAACTTTTTATGTCAGAAACTCCAAACCAGTCATTTTAGCCTTTGCTTTCTTACTTCTGTATGGATGGCTATGAGATATATGATTACAGGATCCTTTAAAAAAGCAAAAATAAAAACAAATAACTAAACCATTAAGCTGTGAGGTTTTCTGTCCTCCCGATTCTCTGACTCTTTCTGAATGTGAGCATTCTCAGGCAGAAGCAGAATGAGGAAGTGGAGCACAGAGGGTTTCCGTTTTGCTGAGAACACATTTATTTAGATTTAGAAGGATATAAAATATTTTTTGGGTTAAAGCTATAGTTCAGTGGTTGAATGCTTGGCTAGCATGCTTGAGGCTCTGGGTTTAATTCCCAGTACCATCAAAAAATTAAAATAACATAACAGAAAATTATCAATAAACTGTGACCATTGTTTTCCAGACTTATTTTTAAGTCATAAGAAATCAGGGGGAAACTCCACTACAATGTAAAGACAACAGAAATACCAGAAGGAACATTAAGTCTTGGTGTGGTCTAAGTGCCGTTATTGGGTTGAATTCTTCCTCTTCTAAATTCATATGCTAAAATTCTAGCTCTTAGAATATGACTGCATTTGGAGATAGGGTTTTTTTAAAATTTGTTTTGCTATTTTTTTAATTTTTATTTTTTACTTTTTAAAACATTCGATTTTCAGGTTTTTTTAATTGCACAAAAGAATGGGTTCCATTATGACATTTCCATACATGTATACAATGTACTTTGATCACAGTTACTCACCCGCTTTTCACCTCCTTTGTCTCTCTTATCCCTCTCTCTAGTCCCTTGTCCCAAATAGTCTGGAGGTTAGGTCTTTAGGGAGGCATTTGAAGTTAGAATGAGGTGCCCTTTAATGAATTAATGAGCTATTTAATTAAATTTTCGTTGAGATGTCCTTTTAGAAGGGAAAATTTGGGCATAGACATGTATAGAAGGAAGAAGATGTGAAGACATGGGGTGGAGATAGCTATCTGTCAACCAAAGAAAGCATTCTCAGGAGAAACCAATCCTGATGACACCTTGATTTCAGACCTCCAGCTTCCAAAATTGTGAGTAAATAAGTCCCTGTTGTTTAAGGTACCCATCCAGTCTTTGTGGTACTTTGTTACGCAGCCCTTGCAGACCACAGTGGTGCCCCTAAATTCTTCTGCTTGCTGAATCAGCATTTATCTTTTGAAAATTAAAATACTTCCTTTTGGAGGAGGTAGTAAGTTGGTTGTAATGATGGTACCACAGGTGTGTGTGAATGCCCAAACTCATCCAGATGTGTACATTAAATGTGTACAATATTTCAAATGTCATTTACACCTCAATAAAGCTAAAGTTATTGTTTTTTCCATTCCAAATATAACAAAAGTTTACTTTCATACTTCAGAAATATAGGAAGAGGGAGAAAGACCATATTATCCAAACTCACCCTTATTTTCCTATTTTTGCTTCCTTTCACTTTTGTTCTTATATTCCATTAATATAAATTTAATATTTAAGAAAGTTTGCTAGGTTATGAAGCTTATGAAGCTTATAGTTTTAATGGGCAATATCCACTGCCTTGTACTCTACTGTTTTTAAATTAAGCTTCATCCTTCTCTCTCCGTAAGCATTATTTCATAGATTCTTCACTTCTGGTCCCTGACAATTTTGGCCTCTGTAATTCTTAACTGATAACAGTTATTTCTATGTCCTGGACAAAACTGAAGCCATCTGATGGGCTTTTTCACATTCACCTGCACTCAATAATCCTTTTTGCCCCCACTAGAGCAGTAGTTCTCAACACACAGTACACATTAATGTCATCTGGGAACCTTCCATAAAACAAGATGCCCATGATCTGTGCTGAACAATCTTACATCTCTAGGGATAGGGTCAAGCATCAATAAAGTTTAAAAGCTCCCTGAGTAGTTCTGATAAGTTGCCAGACAAGGATATATGGAATTAAATAAATGAACTCTTCCTCTTTCCTTTCCTGCCTCTTCCTTCTTTCTTCTCCTTCCATTTTCAAATAATTCAGTCCTAAAACCATTCTATTGACAGAGAAAAGTAGATGTCTGTAGTGAGAGAGTGATGGCCCAGAGCAGGAAGTAAGAGCCCAGGAAGGTGGCCCTGAAGAGCAGTGATCTGTGGGAATCAGAGCTAGAGTAGACAGAGGAAGGTGTATATGCAAAGGAGTGGCCAGGTGTGGGATGTCAGACCTGAGCAGGTAAGAAGATGTCTGAATGGAGGACTGCCCTGGTGTGAGATAACAAGGCAGTGTCCCTCTGGGATGGTAGTGTGGAATGAAGAGTGTCAAAGCAAAAATTGCACTAGATAAAGCTGAACAGGGAGGCAAGATTTTATTTAAGACTATTACAATAGAGAGGAAGAGATTGAACTCAACTCTGCAGAAACAAAAGAAGGTAGGTCTTCTTTTCCTGGTACTGGGGATTGAGCCCAGGGCCCTTGTGTGCTAGGCAATCATGCTCTACTACTTGAGTCACACCTCCAGCCCCTTTGTATTTTGTTTTTAAGGTAGGGGTTTGCTGACTTTGCCTGGGCTGGCCTCAAACTGGCAATCTTTCTGCCTTGGCTTCTAGAATAGCTGGGATAAAAGACAATGTGCCACTACCCTGGCAGAAGGGAGTTTTTCTTACCATTTTTTATTTTTAGATTTTATTTTTTAAATTGACAAATAAAAATTGCATATCTTTATTTGATAGTACCAGGGTTTGAACTCAGGGCTTTGTGCTTGCTAGGCAACCACTCTACTGCTTGAGCCATACCTCTAGCTCATTTTGCTCTGGTTATTTTGGAAATAGGGTCTTTCTTATTGCCCAGGCCAGCCTGAACTATGATCATCCTGCTTTTAAGCTTCTTGCCTTTGCTGTAATGACAGGTGCATGCTACCATGCCCAGGATTTTTTGCATTGAGATGGCTGCTCACAAACAGGCTAACCTGGAGCCATGATCCTCCTGATTTCAGCCTCCCAAGTAGCTAGAGTTTCAGGGATGAGCCATTGGTTCCTGGCTTATATTTACTATTTTAAGCTCTGGGGTGAGCTAGGGGAAAGTTCTGGAGGACTTTACATACATTTTAATAGAACAGAGAATGAATTTGCAATTACAAATTCTAAAGTAAATGCTCTAAGAAGAGGGAGGCCTTTAGTCAGGGGCTTATTGGTAGCAAAAAGCCTATACAAAGCTTGTTCAAGCTTTGGGGACTGTCAAAGTCATCTTGGTCAAGAGTCTGAGCTATGTCTGGTAGTTGGGCATCTGTGCCAGGGATGACTGCAATGAGACAGAAGATGGACTACATAGAGAAAATGATCGAGTAAGAAAATGTATTAAGGAAATAAAAGACAGATTTCTCACTATTGGAGAAGTAGGTTACAAATATGAAAAGAGAATAATTGTGGTGTGAATTATAATTGAATATACATGTGTGAACTCATGACTTTCAAAAAACAGAATAGAAGCAAATATAGCTGTGAATGTACTGTCAAAGATGACCCACTGACAGTAGAAGACAGATACTTCAATAACAATGAACACAACTAGTCCCCAGTCATGGCTTCTAAACATTGCTTTTCTTTTTTTTTTATTGTTTTATTATTCATATGTGCATACAAGGCTTGGGTCATATCTCCCCCCTGCCCCCACCCCCTCCCTTACCACCCACTCCGCCCCCTCCCTCTCCCCCACCCCCTCAATACCCAGCATAAACTATTTTGCCCTTATCTCTAATTTTGTTGAAGAGAGAGTATAGGCAATAATAGGAAGGAACAAGTGTTCCTGGTTGAGATAAGGATTGCTATACAGGGAGTTGACTCACATTAATTTCCTGTACGTGTTCTAAACATTGCTTTTCTTTATAAAAAAAAAAACTTTGGAAATATGGTCCATTCCGGAATAGGAGAGAAAAAGCATAAGTTAAGCTTGTAATAACTTCTTGTGTTAGAAAGCAAAGAAGGACTAACAGAAAGTTGGAAGACTACTACTATCAGATCTAGGAAAATAAACTGTAGTAAGATTGTTGAATGATATTATGACAGGAAGGCAGGGAGGGACAAGGGAGATAATGGGAGACAATGAGGGAGATAACGAGTACAACAGTGAAACAAGAAAAACCGGATTTGGGGAATGTCACTTGCATGTGACCATGTATGGGACAAACAGTATCCCCTTTTATGTAACCTCCTCTAAATGGTATGTAAGGAAGACCCCTTTTGTTCTTGAGGTTCTGCCTTTGGACTTGAGTCTGCTGAGTCCAAAGTACACTGGCTTGCTTAATAAACTTTGGTGCCCCATCTCTCTGTCTGATCCATCCTATAACATTTTTGGGGTGCTCAACTGGGATTTGGAGCAGTGTTTTCACTTCATTGTCACCAGCTCAGCATCCCTGGCCTGCTGGGAGGGCTGCCCCTGCCAGGCACCACTGGACAGTATTGATCCAAGGAGAGGGAACCTCTCTCCCAGTGAACTGGGGAGGTGAGTTTTGGTCACACAAAGGAACCTGGAAAGGCTTGGGAACCAACTTGGGAAGCCTGCTTATCAGACTGGTAAGAACCCTGGGTTCAGACCTGCCTTAGGAGGCAGAAGGGGAGTCTGATCAACTCCCAGCAGAGACACCCTAGTAACTGCCTTTTGGGGGTTCAGGGAGTGGGATAGAAATATTGTGCTGTGTAAGAGTATATAAAAGTCAAGTGTGACCTTGAGATGCAGCCCAGCTGCAAAGCAAATGCGGAGTCCTGATATGCAGGCCTGTGGAGAACTCACATAGTCCAGGGTGAGCCCTAACAGGGCCTCTGGTCTAGGACCAATATGGACTCACTATGGCCAAGAGATGCCTAAATCCCCATGAGGGGAGCAGCCAGAGAAGGATGAAGCAAGCAGTATTATTTGTTTTCCCCTGTATGCCAGAGAGGAGGATCCCTGACCTCCTCACCACAACCCTCATCCTTTCCGTTTGTCTCTGTCTTGATATCTGATAACAGGAGGAACAGGAGGAAGACAGAGTAAGAATACCCCCCTAGAGTACATGCTTAAGAACTTTAAAGGGGTTTTAATGGAGATTATGAAGTCAAGCTGACTCCTGACAGGCTTAGGACCTTCTGTGAAATAGACTGGGCTGCTTTTGGTGTAGGATGGCCCTTGGAGGGGTCATTAGATAAGGTC